GATATGGCTCTTTGTGACATCATTTCTTCTAAGTGGGCACCATATACAATTCCCAGTGGCCATCTATAAGAGAAGGTGATGGCATTACCATGATAGAACTGAAAATGCACACCAAACACAAAAGAAGCCAAAAAACATATAACGAGAAAGCATGTGTGGGAAAATAAGTTTGCTATATGTACACGCAAGAGGGATCTGAATTTACGATATTGACGGAACCCATATCTTGACCTCTGAGGCCAACCTGTTTGGGTAACTACAGAGTTTGCAAATCTAAGTCATTCTAAGTTGGTACCCTCTGGCTGTTGGCCAAGATAAGGTCTGAAGTCCAGACCTCCCAGTGACTGAGTACAGAAAAATGTTAATGCTTTGGAAGTGTTTCAAATCTTTCAAGCCATTAGGGGACCATTTTGTGTTCTAAGAAAGATAATTTACTAAAACAAATTGTTATCATATGAAATAGCCAATGCAACTCTTTGAGTCAGTTGTTTATTTCTTATTTCCTAGCAGGCTAAAGGCACCCCAGTTGACATTCATCTCTTCCCACCAATTCTCACATTGCCCTTTGAGTGTTACCTTATTACATTATAACATTTGGACCAATCTGCCTTGTGTTAAAGTTGTTTGGTACTAAAGTAAAACAAAACTGTGTCGTAAGAGTATCATATGGAGACAGATTGACTTGGAGGAACAGGTGGGCCCAAGTCCCATAGAGAACACAGGGGGCCAACAAGGGGCTCCCTGGTCAAGGCAGGAAGAACAATAGAGAGAAGGCAAATTAGGCAGTTACTGCTCACTGACACATTTCACCTGTTTTTTTTCTAGCAACATCTGACAAAGTTTTGCGCCATGTATACACTGGGTAGCAAATAACTTAGACAAGCAAGAGGTGCCACCTGACACTGGGATTTCAGGAGGGAGGGCGATGAAGAAAATCTAGCCTTGGTGAGTAGGGAAAGGGGCAGAGAGGAGAGAGGATGGTTTGGCTGGAGTTGACTTAAGAAAGAATTCTCAAAGGTTCAAGACTCATTGCACACAGTGGAGTCCCAAGACGACAGAGAATCGAACTGAAACACATCCCAGGGTATCCCACGTCTGTTCTAGGAAACTATGAAGAGCCTTCCCTAGCACAGACATTCACCTCTGGCACTTTAGGAAAGTTGGCCCCAAAATGTTTCTGGATTGATTTATGGTAAGTTCCCCACCTCGTCGTTGTTTACATTTTGAGTTAAAACTTACTTTCTTGTTATGGGGCTGATCTGAGCACTATAGGATGTTTAGCAGCATCCCTAGCCTCTACTCACTAGATGCCAGCAGCACCTCCTCATTGAGCTGGGTGATAGCTGCTCTCTCCTCCTGGGAGCCCTTGAGATATCCGTGTGATTTTGAGGTCTCTGGGACATGACATGTGGAAGCCACACTTTTTCAGGCAGGGTGGAGAGGCTCCTCCTTCTTTTTTATACCTTATCATCTGAGGAATAAAACATGTTGTGGTCTCCTATATTCTTCTGACATGTTTAAGGAACACCGCACAAAGTCAAATAACTTCATCTTTCCTTTTTGGTCTGGGATAAAATTTGAACCCATGGGGGCCATCCCATAGGACCACTCAGTGACAGACACCATCTTGTTCTTTGCATCCCTATGCCCTCTGACAATGCTCTTTTTGCTATTTCTCCCCTTCTCCATCTCAAGAAGCCAGACCTTGATATTCCCAGATCTTGGAGGTTGCAGAGCAGAAAGATAAGTTTTCCCAGAAAAATGTTCTGCCTGGTTTTCATTTTCAAAAATTTCAACCCATGGAAGAGACTATGCTGTGTAGTGAGGGAAGGGAGAAATATTTCTTAAGTCAGAAGGGCATTAGATACCTATGGGCCCCAGGGAGATTATTTTCCTTGGCAATGCCCTCAGCAGGGTTGGAGACACTCAGAAAGGAGACATACCTTGTGTACCTAAGGGTTTTTATGTTCTTCCCACCAGAACTTCTGCCTGGACAGCAATTCCCACACCTATGCTTAACTAAAAAGCATAAAATTACCTGCCTCTTCATCTTTGAGGGTGAACCCTAAAAAATAACTACTGTGTTGCAAGACCATGTGATCCTCAGGGGCAGATTCCAAAGATGGCCATGGTATCTCCTATCTTGAAAGTTGTTTTGCAATGCAACCTTGCCTCTCCTATCAAAATATGAGGTCTATTTTCCCTGCCCTTGAATCCTGGTTGGCTATATAACTCTTGAAACCAACAAAATGCTGCGTAAGATGCTGCATGACATTCAGGGTTAGGGCTGTGCAGCTTCTGCCTGGTTCTCTTGAGACGCACAATCAGTGGGAAGCCACATGTAGGAAGTCCAATCATCCTAAGACTGCCGTCCTGGAAAAGACACATGTAGTTGTTCAGGGTTGAGAGCCCCAGCTGAGCTCCCAGCAAGCATCTAGCCTCATCAACCCACCATGTGCTGACGCATCTTGGGCATCCCGCCCAGTGGAGTGTTTGGCTGCCTGAAGCCGAAGTCAACATCTGACTGCAGCCACATGAGAGACTGAAGCAAGAATCATCCAATCCAGTCATCCCCAAATTCCTGAATCACAAAACCATGAGCAAAAGAAAAGGGTTGTTTTAAGCCATTATGTTTTTGGGATAAGCAATAATAGATGGAATAAACTCTCTGAATTTTCTGTTCTCTTCAGAAACCCTTGGACTTCCACATGACCCTGGGGTGGCCAGAGCCACATTATAATTTAGTGGATTTTCTCACCAGCCCTGCAAGATAGAGGTCCTGAGTCAGACTGATAAAATTTTACTTTTGATTTAATAATATGACTTTTCCTGCAAACATGAGCTTATGAAGGAGAATTAATTCTTGCCATACTTATCTACCTGACTGTCTTTTCCTTTAGAATGAATTCTTTCCTAGCAGCTCTTCAATCCTTTCTGTGAATAGGTTCCTGAGAGGCCCACCCAGAGCCTCATCAGAAATAGCAGACACGCCTGAAATTTGTGGTCAACACTGAGACTCAAGCTAGAACCTTGGCTGCTCTTTCCACAGATGATTGTGAGTGAGCAAACAGGCACTGTTAGTCCAGCTTGTGATGCCACCAGTACCTGAGTTTCCTTTGGATCACTGACCCAGGCCACAGCAGGAGCCCTGGCCACCATTGCTGTGTCCACTGCTGCATCCCTAGCTCCTGGTCTGTTGCTTAGCACATAGTAACTACTCAGTAAATATTGGTTGCATGCATAAACTAAGGTTGAGAAAGAGGGCTGAAACAATGGAATAAGGGATTTAGGTTAAATTTAGGATTTACAAGTGAGGCAGGAGAGTTAACAAATGCTATATTTTTTCTTGCCATTGCTTTAGCACGAAAAACCTTTTTATCTTTGTGTTTTCAACCTAGAGGAGCTTCAGTCTTTATCTGAAAGGGAAAAATGAATTCAGCCCCTAGGATTAGTTCCTCAGTTTAGTGATGCATAGGTAACCTTCAGGTTTCTATTTCTTTTCTTTTCTTTTTTCTTTTTCTATTTTTTTGAGACGGAGTCTCGCTCTGTCGCCCGGGCTGGAGTGCAGTGGCGCAATCTCGGCTCACTGCAAGCTCCACCTCCTGGGTTCACGCCATTCTCCTGCCTCAGCCTCCCAAGTAGCTGGGACTACAGGCACCCACCACCATACCCAGCTAATTTTTTTGTATTTTTAGTAGAGACAGGGTTTCACTGTGTTAGCCAGGATGGTCTCGATCTCCTGACCTCGTGATCCACCCGCCTCGGCCTCCCAAAGTGCTGGGATTACAGGCGTGAGCAACCACGCCCCGCCTCAAGTTTCTATTTCTATTCCTCCCTCTGTAAAGCTGATTTCTTTCAAAGTTCCTTTCAAATGAGAGATCACATTTCCCTTTAGACGTTACTCTAGGTCTCTATATTTATTATCAAGCTTAATTAAAAAATAACACCCCAGGCTCCTGAAGTGTTTTAGTTCCTACTTGTATGAAGTTTAAATAAAATATTTGATTTTTCTCTCTCTAATTCCTCCGTATCTAATAAGTGAGTGTTGGTCATAACACTGCATGCAAATCAGGTCCCTTCCAAGTGTTAATTCTAGCTCTGGAAACAAGAGTAAATACGTGTACTATGGCATATTGTCAACCAGGTTGTCTAGAGTTTTCTAGATAATTCTGTACAAACTTTTTACAACATGACATTCATCACTTCTGATATTGTCAAGAATAGTTCAGTTTGAATTTCTATTACTGACTCTTTATTCTCCCTTTTAAAGTACATTAAGTAAAAGACAGTTTTCAAGATAATCGTGACAGGAATTGCCCTCTGTATTAATAGCATTTACATGACAGTATTTGCATTATTGATATTTTGGGTATATTCTATGTATCAAGAATGGGGATGAAGGGTGCTGATATTTGAGTACAGAATTTCTTGGTGTTCTCTGGCCAGTGCGCCAGACAAATCATGTTTGTCTTTGGCGGTCCCTGAACTTTGCTGTCCTCATTGGCCTTAGTCTATGCATTTATAGCAGCATCGCACAATTAAATACTATTTTGTACACTAAATTAAATTTTGTACACTTAATTAAATACTATTTTGTGTTGTTTGTTTTCATTTTAACTTTGTTAACCTCGTTTAGAACTCAGAATGGCTAGAACTGTGGCGACTCAATGTTAGGCCCCAATAAATACTTGCTGCTTGTTTCACTTTTTTATTTTCAAATCTATGGGCTTGAAATCAAAAAACATTTCTGAATTAACAAAAGAGTGATTAATTCTAACCTTCTTCATTTTGATAAGCTTGGGCTAGGGTGTGCCTTGTCTCATGTCTCTTCGATACATATTAAAGAGAGGACATTTTCCAGTGGAACTGTTGTTATGCTTCACAAAACAAACAGAATTTTTATTTTGCAGAGTGTTTATTAAACAAACATGTCCCCAAGTTTTGAAGAAAGCTGGGGAGGACTGGGAGCTAATTTTTCTCATTATTAACAGGACCTCTGATCCCTGAAGGGAGGACCCAGAGTCACCAGCCTGCCAAGAAGCACCGAGCATCTGCTCTGGAGAAGGGAATTAGGAAGGAAACGTGTGAACCACGCAGCCAGACCGGTCTCCAGATGGCGAGACCTCTGAGGAATTCATCTGTGGTCAATGTGAGCACATCCTCCAATAATTGGTTTCAAGAGATGGAACTCCCGCTTGCTGTCTGGTGGCAGGCACTGTCTCAGGAGGAATGGTTTGGGGCACAGGGTAGCAAATGGTGCAGTGTCTTTTTTTGCATCTTAGCATGGGCTCTTGTCTTGGACACCCTAGTGGTGACTGCAAAACAGCAGGATGGTCGCACCATGGCGTTTGGAGTCATACCAACTTGGGTTAGAAATTCTGTTCGTCTTTTGATTGCAGTTGATAATACCTGCTTCAGAGAGTTGTTGGGATGATTACATGCAATCATGTTTAGAAAACCTCCCTGGTGCTTCTTGACAATAAATGGTAGCTAATGGAATTCTTATGTCTGCTTAGAGGAGCCTGGGAAGGAAGACCTGCTGAGACCAAAGGAAACAAGTTGTTTCTCTGGAGGACAGAGAGATTTTCCTTCTTTGTAATAGAATGTGGCTTCTATGGACCTCCCCAAATAAACCATGGTACAAACAGGCGTCAGACTGCAAGATGTCATTAAGTGACTGCCCTGCCTGCTTTTCCATAGGGAATGGCTCTTTTATGGAAAGAGTTGAAAAGCCTTCAATTTACCATGATAAACTGTTTACAGATATGTTTTTATTTCAATTTGTCTTTTAGACTTTATTACTCAGAGCACGTGCATGGAAATAAGCATTTGGGTTTTAAAAGATGGTAGTGTTTAGTCATTGAAACATTTGGCCAGTCCCACTCAGACTCTGTGGAACCACAGCTATGACTCCTTGGAGAGAAATCTTGTCTCTTCTTCTTTTTAAGGTAGTTTAAGCAAGGCAAGATGGTCCCATTCTTTGCTTTGAGTTTCAAAGACAAACTCATTTATTCACCCTTCGAGTTGATTCCTGAGCACATGGGCACACAGGGCGCAGGACACACTTTGCTGGGGAGATAGCATTGGTCTGGGTGGCAGGCAGAATAAACCCCAGCAGACCCGAGCACTTTCCATGGATTTATGCAGGACACTGGGAAGAAGGAAAACAGAACCTTTGCATTCATGCAGACTCCCTGTCTCTGGTGGATATTCCCTATGGAGTTTCAGGAAAGGAAAAAGCCACAAGGATATTCCAGACATTAGCATCCTTAGAAAATGAGAATTCCATTAAAGCAGGGTGACTCCAGGGTGAGAGCTGCAGAAGGCAATAGGCCTTCTGTGTGTGCTCCAGAGGCCTGCTCAAAGCATTTCTGGACAACGCTTCATCATGCTTCGTGAAAGCATCATCAGTTATTGATTTCTGCTTTCTCTTGGGTGGAGAAACCCCCCGGCTCCGCTTACATTATTCTGTTTTCAGCCTTTGCTCAAGTGCAAAGTGCCCCAGATGTCTCATTGCTCTTCCATCTCCTTCTTACTGACTGCACAAACCTGGGAGGCTCCTTAGACTCCTGTGATCCATGAGGCATTAGGGTGTCAGGTGAGAGGCATTAATTGGGTGCATGGTCACCAAGCAAATCTTGGAAAGAAAGCACTAATGAAGAAGCAGAACCTCCTCAGGATAAGGCAGGAGGAACCTGGGCTACCATGCCTGGGACATGGAGGGCTTCATCTGACCCACCCGAAGATGCTCTTCTATTCCAAACATAGTCACAGACCTATTGATTGCTGAGATGTGTTTTAAAAAGCATCTGGAATCAGGCAATTAGTTTCTGTTTAATGCAGAATGTCAAAACAGGGCCACCGATTCTCTAATTGATCAACTGGTTCCCTTGAATGGTAAGATATGGACTTAGCCAATGGGAGTAATAAAGTAGAATAAAAAGTTGAGAAAGTGGAGCCAAAGATTTATTAGTCTTCCAAAGAAATACATTGTTTATCCTCTCATTTCCCAGTAATTGCTTGTTTATTAAGGTAGCCACTCAGAGAGAAAGCCAACAGCAGAGATTGTCAATAGTAAAGAGGGGTTATGTGTTTACCGTAAGTAGATGGTATTGTGTTTCAGCTATTAGAGCTCTCAGACCATAAAGAAGCACAGAGAAAGTGCCTAGGCTGTACAAGTAAGTATGGGGTATTGTCCATTGCAAATGGGAATTTTGCTAGAGCCAATGGGCTTTAAGAGAAAGCTGCTTCCGAGTAAAGGGAGCTACTGGATGTGATAAAGTTAATCTTTAGAGCTGTATGCTTGGGAGATAGCAGGTTACCTGGCAGAGTTCAGGCATTTGGCTCTGTTGATCATGGTTTCAAACACAAGTTTGTCATGTATGAACTGCATTAATAGCTGTGTGACCTTGGATCTGTTACTTAACGTGTTTGATTTGATCATCCTTATCTAAGAGGTAAAATAGTTAAAATGTGGAGTAAGGATGTTGAGTGGAAATCCCAGCTCTGTCACTTTTTAAGCTATGGGATCTTGAGCAAGTTACTTCGACTCTCTATGCCTCTGTTCTCTGGTCAAATGAAGGGGATAATGTGTAGCAGCATTGATGTTCAGACCTGGATGGGTCTGGCCTACCTAAATTTACTTGCAGGTGAGCTGCTGGTGTTGACAGCTTCCCATCCCACACACCTAAATTGTCTTCTCTAGAAGTCTGAGGGCTTTTTCCTGGCACCAGGAAGCTGGCTTCACTGCACAGGCATAGCCTGGATGCTGGCGTTGGTGTCCCTGGGGGCAACCCTGAAACAATGGGGATGGGAGTCCTGGGTAAATATTCTCACTTCCCCACTTTCTAGTGGAACAGTTCTGAAAAGCATCTTACCAGGTTCCTCTGAGAGTCCCCAGTAGGATTGGGCCCATTTGCCCACACTAGTGACATTGCCATTATCGTGCTTTCTCCCCTTAGTATCTCACTCACATTGCACCCTCATTCATTAGTCCATACTCACTTCCCTACATCAACTTCCTGCATGCAAAATCCTTGTCTCAGGGGCTGATTTGAGGAGAACCCAAATTAAGATATTTACTCTAAACAAGTTAAGGCACTTACAGCAGTATGTGGCACATAGTAAAATTACCTGTTAGTAATTTTATCAGCTCTGGAAGCTGTAAATCAATGAAGATTTGGAAGAGTAAATCAATGGATAATACTTGCTACAGTGTCTGACACATCATAGGCAATAAATACACATGAATTTTCCTCCCTGTTACATCTCTTACCCTCACGTCCTACCGTGCACCTAGTTCCTTGGGCAGTGCTAGGGGAACCTAATATTGAGCAACTATGGGTTCCAACATTGTTCTAGTAGCTTTATGCTTGACAAAAAGAATAACACTGTCAAACACTGACAATGGTAAAGTACGAAATGTACTAGCAAGGACAGAAAGGATGCATAGGTATTGAACTTTAATTGCCCTGAGTGCAAACAAGACAGAATCACTTACAGCAAAAGAAAAAGATCTGCATTTATACTTTGACTCCTAATGCCAAATCATGAGCTCAATAGCATTCATCCTTGATGCTTTGCTCTCATGCCTGGGCCTCTAAACTTCTCTCTCTGACAGTGTCCAACTCTCCCTTGCTTCCCCAAAACTTATCAGTACTCTTGCTTACCTCTGCAGAGCACTGGAATCACCCATGAGTCCAAGATGGAAGGCTGATGAAGAGAAGGAACAGGGAGAGGGAATTAACTTTCCTGAGCTCAGTAAGTGCTTTGATCACTTGACTTTAAAAACTGCTTTTTGTATCATGGCACTCCACTGTGGTATTATCTCTAATTCTCACGGACCCTAAACAATAGACATTTTCTACTCCATTTTACACGTGAGCAATTCAGGGCTCAGTGAAGTGAAGTGACTTGCTTAGGTCATCCAGCAAGAATGATAGGAGCTGGAATTTGAGTTCAGCACTGTTAGTCAGTGCTCATTTTACTCATTCGACTCTAGTCAATGAAATCTCAGTGTATTGATTGTTTTATTTTGGCAAAGAATGGATTGTGTCTGAGGGTTTACTGCTCACAACCGTTCTATGAGTATTTTTGGTTATTCCCTTTTCATATGTCAGGAAACTGAGTCTGAATAAGATTGGATGATATATCTGAAGCCATAATGCTAGCAGTGGCAGATGTAGGATTAGTTGATCTTTATGTCTAACTCCTGTTCTTTCCACTCTACCATGCTATTGTAGTGGAAAAAAAATAGACCCTGAGAAGTGGAGTCTAATTCTCCTCCTCTGTGAATCTGGCCTTGCTTTAGTGACTTGCTTGACTAATAGTATATGATGGAAGTGATGTCTAGAGATTCCTGAAGCTGGGCCATGAGAAGGCTTGTGTCTTCTGCATGAGCACCTTGGAACACTGCCTCTGGAGCTCTGAATTACCATGCAAGAACCTGGACAACCCTGATACCACCATGTTGGAAAGGCTGCATGTGGTCATTCTGGTCAACAGCCCCAACTGATTCCAGCTTCCTAGCTGCCCTGAAAAGTCACCAAACATGTGAGTGGAGCTGTCTTGGAGCTTCCAGAAAACCCAGATGCTAATGAATAGGGTGCCTGTCCTTTGTCAATGCTGCTGGAATAGAAACATAGTGCAGCTGAGCTTTGCCTGAATTCCTGAACCAAAAACTCATGAGAGGTAATAAAATAACTGTTGTTTCAAGCCATTGTATTTTTAAGGACGTATTGAGGTGTGCTTAGTATAATAACTGCACATACTTAAAGTGTATGATTTGACAAGATTTGGCATATATATATATACCTATGAAACCATCACTATGATCAAGAAAGCAGGAATATTTATCAGCCCCAAATTTCCTCACACATCTTCAAAATTCCACCTCCTGCTCCTCTTCTCCCACCAAGGCAATCAATCATCTGCTTTCCGTCACTAGAGATTAGTTTGCATTTTCTGAAGTTTTACGTAAATGGACACAAAGAGCAAATGTACTCTTTTTATGCCTGGCTGTTTTGCCCCAGCATATTTGCTTGAGATTCATTCATGTTATACGGTGTGTCAGTAGATTATTGCTTTTTATTATTGAGTTGTTTTTCATTGTGTAGGTATATTGCAGTTTGTTTGTCCATTCACCTGTTGATGGACATTTAGGTTGTTTCCATATTTTGGCTATTACAAACAAAGGTGCTATGGTCATTTCTGTTCCAGTTTTTGTAAGGACATATGTTTTCCTGTTTCTCGGGTAAATACCTACAGTGGAATAGTTGGATCTCATGATAGGTGTATGTTTAACTTTTTAAAGAAACTATTAAACTATTTTATTTTATTTTTATTTCAAAAGTTTTTGGGGAACAGGTGATGTCTGGTTACATGGATAAGTTCTTTAGGTGTGATTTCCAATACTTTGGTGCACCTATCACCTAAGCAGTATACACTGTACCCAATGTGTAGTCTTTTATCCCTCACCCCCTTCCCACTCTTCCTCCCAAGTCCCCAGAGTCCATTATATCATTCTTACCCTTTTGTGTCCTCATAGCTTAGCTTCCACCTATAAATGAGAACATACGGCCGGGCGCGGTGGCTCAAGCCTATAATCCCAGCACTTTGGGAGGCCGAGACGGGCGGATCATGAGGTCAGGAGATCGAGACCATCCTGGTTAATACGGTGAAACCCCATCTCTACTAAAAAGTACAAAAAACTAGCCGGGCGAGGTGGCGGGCGCCTGTAGTCCCAGCTACTTGGGAGGCTGAGGCAGGAGAATGGCGTGAACCCAGGAGGCGGAGCTTGCAGTGAGCCAAGATCCGGTCACTGCACCCCAGCCTGGGCGACAGAGCCAGACTCCATCTCAAAAAAAAAAAAAAAAAGAGAACATACAATATTTGGTTTTGCATTCCCGAGTTACTTCACTTAGAATAATGGTCTCCAACTCCATCTAGGGAGGTCAGTTGCCTCACTCCAACATTTGTGGCAGGTTTGATTCCTGCCTTGACCTGCTCTGACCTTTCTGTCTTCCCCTTCTTTGTCTGCAAGTACTGCTTCAGTTTCAGATTTCTTGGTCAGGCAGCTCTGCAGGTTGCTGACAATCAGTGTGGTCAGTCAGATCATTCATGCTTCACCTCTGAATATCTTCTCCACCATGCAGTGAAGGATACAGGATGTGCCTTGCTTCAGTCACTCAAGGAAGGTCAGGAGGCCTGCTTTTTTGTGCTCTTTTCAGTTCACCTAGGTCCTGATGGGAAGAACTGCTCATTTCCTTGAGAGCTCTCAAGCAGAGCATTTGAGGTGATCAAGGACTGGCCTTCAGCCTGGGTGATGTGAGGCAAGCACTGGCCTGGGGTGCTGGCTGCATTTTGGCTCTGACCTTTTTCATGGACCTCACTCTGGGCTGTATCAGGGGAAACCCATCCCTGATATTCAACGTGGGTCCTTTTCTATTTTCCCTAAGTGTCAGCTGGTCTGAGAAATAAAGGGAAAGAGTACAAAAGAGAAAAATTTTAAAACTGGTGTCCAGGGGAGACATCACATGTCGGCAGGTTCCATGATGCCCCCCGAACTGTAAAACCAGCAACTTTTTATTAGCAATTTTCAAAAGAGAGGGAGTGTAGGAATAGGGTGTGAGTCACAGAGATCACATGCTTCAAGGGCGACAAAAGATCACAAGGCAGAAGGTCAGGGTGAAACTAGAATCACTAATGAAGTTCCACGTCTCGCTGTGCACTGCACACATTGTCAGGGTTCAAGATCAGAGAACCAGTCTGACTAGAATTCGCCAGGCTGGAATTTCCTAATCCTAGCAAGCCTGGGGGCACTGCAGGAGACTAGGGCATGTTTCATCCCTATCTATATCTGCATAAGGCAGACACTCCCAAGGCGACCATTTTAGAGGCCCTGCCCTGGGAATGCATTCTTTTCCCAGGGCTGTTAATTATTAATATTACTTACTGGGGAAAGAATTCGGCGACATTTCTCTTACCTGTTTTTGGTAATAAGAGAAATATGGCTCTGTACTGCTCGGTCCCCAGGCAGCCAGACTTTAAGGTTATCTTCCTTATTTCCTGAAAATAATTGTTATCCTGTTCTTAAGGTGCCCAGATTTCATATTGTTCAAACACACATGCTCTACAAACAATTTGTGCAGTTAACACAATCATCAAAGGGTCCTGAGGTGACTTACATCCTCCACTTATGAAGATGGCAGGATTAAGAGATTAAAGACAGGCATAGGAAATCACAAGAGTATTGATTGGGGAAGTGATAAATGTCCATAAAATCTTCACAATTTATGTTCAGAGACTGCAGAAAAGACAGGCATAAGAAATTATAAAAGTATTAATTTGGGGAACTAATAAATGTCCATGAAATCTTCACCGTTTATGTTCTTCTGCCATGGCTTCAGCTAGTCCCTCCATTCGGGGTCCCTGACTTCCCGCAACAGGGCTGAATCCCTTTGTGCTGGTTCCTCTCTTCTTCTCACTGCATGTCATCTCCTGACCATAAAGGCCACCAGAGCAGTGCATGCCCAGACCACCCAGGGTATACATAGAGTCGCTGGCAGTAGTGCCAGGATTCTGTATGTCACTAGCACTGCTGCCCACAGCGGGGCCAGGGTCAGCTGAACAGGCATTGTGTGGTGGGCAGCAGGCCCTCCGTGGCTCCCGAGGGCTCCACAGCTCTGCCTCCACTTGCCCGTGGCCTGTGGGCCACAGCTGACCACTTGGAACTCTGTGGAGTGTTCTGACTCTAACACAAACAAGGGCCCACCAACCAGCATAGACCGTCTTCTGGACCAGGGGGAGAGGAGACATCTCGTCTTCTAGAAAACTGTGTGTCTGATTTTGCTGTGCAAATAGAAATGACATTACTTATGCAGGGCCTTGGACAAGTAGATAGAGCTCCTGGCAGACACTTCCTCAGGCCACTCGAGGCCCCACTTGACCCTATAGCACAGCTAGAGGGTCAAGGCAAGGCCATGCCACAGACCCGTGTCCACACACAATCCTCTCAGGGTAGCGTGGTGGACTGTCCCTGGTGGGGCTCATTACCCTGATTGCAAGTTTCCTTCTGTGGCAGGGAAGACTGTTCCTGCCTACAAAGAGTCTGTCCCCCCTGCTAGGTTGAGCTCCTTGAAGAAGGGACAGTGTTTTCATCACCTCCATAGCCCCTGTAGCTCACCAGTGCCCACTATACACTAGGGGCTCAGTTGCTGTTCGTTTTCTTTTTGACTCTGACTTGGGACACGTCACTTTCCCCTCTTGACCTCCATATTCAGAACTGTGAATAGGAGTAAATGGTTCAAAGCCCCTGTAGCATTAAAACCCCTCCAATACAGAGAGAACTCTGAAACCAGAACCAGAAGTTGAGGACTGATAAGTTATTTTCTATTAAAGGGTAGAAGCAGATGAGTAAGAAAACTCCTGCTACGACTCTTGTGCCATGGTGAATGGAGCATTTTCCCTGGCATGATGGATGGGACATATGGATCTGGATATGAGGGTGGTGTCTTGCTCCTGGAATGCCTCTGCAGACTCAGACCTTAGTTTGCAAATCAGACTCAAGAATGATCTTTAGTGTTGATGGTTTTGTGTGTGTATGTGTTTATGGATTTTTGTTTGTTTTCGAGACTTCATTATTGACAAAATGTGCAGGCCAGGTCCCACTAATGTAGGCCTCCATAACAACTGGTTCAGTACTGACTGACTGGCTAGGTTAAATACTAAAAGCCAGTGCCATTATACAAAGGCTGGAATGT